AAGCGGAGCTTACTTGGCTTCCTTTCCTCATTTTGCTTTTGTTCATATGTATTTGTTTTTGAAATGGTTATGATAGGCCTATATAGTTGGGGATTTGCTTTTGCAGTTTCAAATTATTTTGGAGCCTCTTTTGTGGAAGAAAAGTGACGCTTCAAAAGTATCTGATGATTATAATCTGGAAAGGTGATAAACTCAATCCATGTTTTCATAGTTATTAGCATGCTTTTGTTCATCTGTTTCTCTTGCTTGTTGCCGCTTGATGTCTTGTTTCTTTACTGTATATGTTCAATTTTTATGCAGTGTGGGTGGATTCTTTCAGCGCCATTTTGGTCAAGAGGTATGCTTTGCTTTCTAATTCATTGTTAGTCCATGCTATATCTTCCCAATCATTATGCCAAATATAACCTTTTTTTTTCTTTTTTTAACTTGGGTTCTGCATTGACTTCTGGAAACACTGATATTTAATGGTCTTGGGAAAAGAATTGCAAAAGATTGATGCCTTTGATGTCCATTTACTTATTGGTTCTATTTTATAAGGTTGTGGATTACCTCATCGACCCATTTGTTGCTGGAACCAGTGCTGGAGATCCTGAGTCTCTTTCTGTGAGTAATGCCTCATATCTTTGGACTAATCTGTTCGAGTCTCATGGAAGGAAGTATCAACCTGATTTTCCTTTTATTTATATTAATTATTAGTGTGTCCGGCTATTTTCATGAACTATGGCATTTAATGAGTTGTGAAATGGATCTTGTTGGTGATAGTTCCTTATTGGTTTTTTGTAAATATTGTTGATTACCTTGTCATGGTTAAAACAGATGCGCCATTCCTTTCCAGAGCTATGGGATCTTGAAAAAAGGTATTTCTTTTGTAACTTCTCTTCTATTCCTTTACATGAATTTTGCTGAATAAATTGAAAAATTTTCCTTTCAATTATTGAATTTGGCTTTGATGTCAATTTGTTCACTTTGTCCTAGAGCCATTAAACTGCTAATCCTTAACTTAGGAGGAATTATAAGAAATTATTATTACTTTCCCAAGGCATTGGAAGACTGATCACACATTATTACAACCTTGGTACACTTTGCTTTTTCATTCTTTCTAAATTTCTGTATTCCTAGATCACTGCCGATGAAATCATGATGGGGGGCCTATTTTTTCAGTTTTGTGGTGCTTCTTTCGCAATTTAGAGCATTCTTTACATGTACAAACATTTGGTTGTGACAATCAAATCATAATTTTTGCCTATATGATATTTGTTAGAAGTTAGAATGAGCACATTAAAATTTGGACTAGGTGTATTTGTACTTCAACTCAAGATTGCCACCAATGTGTGTCAAAGAACTATATCTGGCTGTCAATTATTATGAATTGCTATTATTAGGATGCATTATATTCTTAAAAATAGTTAAGGTTTACTGCAATTTCAGTAGTGAATGAGCTATTACAGTCCCTTGAAAACTAAATAATTTCAATGGCATTCTTTCTTGTCAGGTTTGGCTCTATCATAGTTGGAGCAGTTAAATCTAAATTATCTGCCAAAAGGGAAAATCGTGGAGAAACAAAAACTTTGGAGAAAAGGAAGCCTCTGCCTGGCTCATTTTCCTTTCAGGGCGGAATGCAGGTAAATGACTGATGGATAACTTTTTCTGCTCAAGAATTGTATTTGAAGTTCCTTGTGTGAAGATTGCTCCTTTCATCCATAATGTAGTGATATTTCGGAGTAATTGAATCTTTCTGCTGTCATAAAATCTGTTTCCTTTTTCATTTATATTTCATCGTGTTGGATTGGATCAACTTCTGAGACACTGTTTGAGACATTTGAGCATAATATCTTTACCTTGGATGTTGCTCTGAGCAAAGCTTATTATCTTTATGTCACTTGCAAGTATGCTGTTTTACTCGATCTATTTAGCAAATTTAGATTTCCTATTCATTATAGAATTTACATATGGTACTGTTTTTGCATCTTACAGTTCAATTCAATGTTCTTTACTAAAGATTTTTAATCTTGCCTGTTTCCCCCCATGGACATGTATTATTTTGGTACTATTTTTTTTTATTCATTTACTTTAGAGAAAGCTTTATCTGAATTATCATGTAGAACCTCTTTTGACATCCTTGACATAGTTTGAAGGTTTGAGACGTTGGGCAAGTTTACTTCTTCAAGTTGTACTATGGATAATGCCTGGAAAAATTTTCTGTGAAATGTATTCTAGAACTTTTCTATGAAGGCTATTACACATATAATGGAATCTTAACATTGCTATTGGCAGTTGCAGAAATATATAACAAAAATCTCCATATCATTTGTATTTGCTATGTGAAAATGACACCAATTTAGTATTTAATTCCAGCCAGTTGTATGCTTGCCCGTTCCTTATCCTTCAGATTTTATTAGGATTACAATTTTTATCAAAAGATAGGTTACAGTGTCTGTTCTCTAAGCTTTGCTTGAATGTGTTAATTTCCTTTTCTTTTAGCATCAATAACTTGAACCTGATCTGGTCTTTTTAACTGATACTCTCATGATATTGCTGCAGACTTTTAACCCTTAAACATGGTCCTTTATTTCTGGATGGCTTTTGCAGACACTTACTGATATGTTGTGCAAAGATCTTTCGAAAGATGAGCTTAAGCTGAAATCAAAGGTTTTATCATTATCTTACAGTCATGATGGGAAGTCTACATTAGAGAATTGGTCTCTCTCTTATGCTTCTGATCGTGACAAGCGCTCACAAGGTTCATCTTTTGATGCTGTTGTAATGACGGTTAGTTGGACTCTGTTTAGTAGTTAGTTAAACTGTAGTAATTTTTCTTATTTGCTGCTGCAGAAAGAACACCTTGTGCGTTGACATGCATATATGTTATGCTTTATGCTTATTTGTCCAAAGATATCATTGTTAACAAAAAGGTTCTTGTTTATTGCAGGCTCCACTGTGCAATGTTAAAGAAATGAAAATTATGAAAGGAGGAAAGCTTTTTCCATTGAACTTTATCCCAGAGGTATTTGCTTCTTCAATAGGAAAATGCTTACATTTAGATTGTGCCAGTTGTCAATTTACATAGGACAACACAAATATTGTTGATTTATGAATGAGCAAAGGTACTTTTAATATCAGTTTAAGTTTATGGTCATCTTCTCTTGCATCTAAAATGTAGGTGAGTTATATGCCACTATCCGTTATAATTACCACCTTTAAGAAGGAGAATGTCAAGAAACCCCTAGAAGGATTTGGAGTTCTTGTACCTTCAAAGGAGCAACAAAATGGTTTAAAAACTCTGGGTAATGCTTGGCTATGGTACAGTGCACTTAAATGAACTTTGATTTTTTTTTTCTTACTGTGTTCATTGTATGTATTCACTCTTTGCAGGTACACTTTTTTCGTCTATAATGTTTCCAGATCGTGCACCTAATAATTTGTATCTCTATACTACATTTGTTGGGGGAAGTCGAAATAAGGAGCTGGCAAAAGCCTCAACGTATTGAAAACTTCGTTGGTTTATTATTTTACCATACTTTTCTTACTTCATTGTATATATATTTGTTTTGCTAATAATTTTTGTTGTTAATCATTGTTTTAGAGATGAGTTGAAGCATATTGTTACTTCTGACCTTCGGCAGTTGCTGGGAGTGGAGGGAGAACCCACATTCTTGAAGTACATGAACCATTGCCTTAGCATTTTATTTTTTGTTACTGCTACTGTCTAATGGTTAAAATTTTGATAGTTATATATGAGGTGTTTTGAATTAAAATGTATAGCTGCATACATTTTCTGACAACTTGAGATTTCCTAATGACAGTCATTTCTACTGGAGCAAGGCATTCCCGTTGTATGGCCGTAACTATGCTTCAGTCTTGGAAGCAATTGAAAAGATGGAGACGGATCTTCCTGCATTCTTCTATGCGGGTAACTAACTGTGCTTTTACTTGGAAGTTTATAATGTAATAACCCATTTACCTCAATCCTTTCCCACATAAAGAGTTAGACTATGCGTACACGTTATGAAATCCCAACAAAAACCCGGAAGACGTTGACTAGAGATTTTCGTTGCTGTCAACTGAATTCAGCGCACTTTTCAACTTTCCTAACAAATTAATAAATATTGTATTCTACCGAGTGATGTAGAAGTTTAAATCTGATGTACTGATTGTTCAACCGAAGTGCTTTTGTCTGAATATAAGATGCCGAACGGGTCCCATAATCAGTTTTTATAACCTTTACTTGTGTGAACTGTGTTGCTAGGTAACCACAAAGGCGGATTATCAGTTGGGAAAGCGGTTGCTTCTGGGTGCAAAGCAGCTGACCTTGTAATCTCGTATTTGGAATCTTCACATCAGAAGCTGCTCAAAGATTGAACGCCATCGAAGCTGGAATTATACTGTCTGTTAAGTATGAATGTAATCCTTTTGGTTTCTGCTTGAAATTGGCTTCTATTCACAGAATGCTCAAACTATTTTCTTTAAGTAAGAGCAAACATTCAGCTATTGTATAGTAACAAAACAGCAAGTCAATCTATTGTTGTTAATCTGCCTTCTGGTTACTTAATGTTATTTGGTATTTGTCGTTCACATGATTTAATGTCATGATTATATAATAGTTCGGATGGTTATGTCATCAAGTCATGTGAGGACCATGAAAGTGAAGGAGGAAAAAATTGACTTCAACTGTTACATGGTCACGTGTCATATGTTACATGGATAGAAATGTCAATTGAGATCGAGTCTGATGGTCATATTTTTTGTTACGGACTAAGGATTCGTGTGGATATAATAAAAAATTTAAACATTTTTTGTTATATAAGAAAAAATTTTAAATGTTTTAGAATAAACAAAAACGGAAAAATGAGCCTGGGTTTATAATTCAAAAGTTAATCAGATTAAAGTCCATCGAAATAGACAACAACCTATGTAACTACTTTCTCAAGGCCCAATCAAACCATTTGCTTTCCTCGTGTTCTAAGCCAGCCATCCGACAACCATTTCGGATTCGGCTTCTAACCGAAGACCAACCAACTTCTTAATCCAATGGAAAAGTCAAACGTTACCATCAAAGAGGAAAAAAAGAATCGAAATCCACTTCCCACTGTCACTCTCGGATCAGGGATAGCTTCCATCGTCACCCACATCACCGCCCTCGATGCTGCTCTTTCCTGTTATTCTGTTTCCCTTCCTTCTCCTCCTCCTTTACTTCATCGTCCGTCCCCGCCCCGTCAACATCCCTATCAAAAACCGCCACGTGTTCATTACAGGCGGGTCAAGCGGCATCGGGCTAGCCTTAGCCCACCAGGCCGCTTCCCAGGGAGCCCGTGTCTCCCTCCTAGCCCGCTCTCTTAGCAAGCTCGAAGAAGCGAAACAATCAATTCGACTTTCCTCCGGAGTTGACGTTTCGATCTTTGCTGCTGATGTTCGTGACCACGACGCCGTTCAGAAGGCGATCAACGATGCGGGGCCCATCGATGTGCTGGTGGTTAACCAGGGTGTTTTTGTGCCTCAGGAGCTGGAGAAGCAGGGATTGGACGAGGTCAAATTTATGATCGATGTGAATTTGATGGGAAGTTTTAATGTCATCAAAGCTGTTTTGCCGTTGATGAAGGAGAGGAAGGACCGTGGGCCGACCTCTATTGCTCTTATGTCTTCCCAAGCTGGGCAGGTCAGTAACCAAATCATTGAGTTAGTTAGTTTTATAAAAAGGGCATTGCATTTTAGTCATTTTTATTTATGAAAAAAATGTTTTGGAAAAGATATGAATGCTAAAAAGTAGTAGTAAGTAGTAATATTAACAATATTTGTTTGAATTTTTTTTAATAAACTTGTTGTTTAGTTATGAAGGATTTCTTTTGCTGCTATAATTACTTGCATTTTGTAATTTGGAATATAGGTGGGGGTTTACGGTTACACAGCTTACTCCGCCAGTAAATTTGGGCTAAGGGGATTAGCAGAAGCGTTGCAGCAGGAGGTTATTGCGGATAATATTCATGTCTCTCTCATATTTCCACCAGATACTGACACTCCTGGTTTTGAGCAAGGTTTCAGACCCTTTTCTTTGAATCTCTTATCATAAAGTTTTAGCTGGATTGCTTTTTTGTAACCTATATTTACTGGTTATTGGCTTGCTGGGTTTTGGAAAGGTGTGAGATGTCATCATTCTGCGTTAGAATTAATCATTTTGAGTTATTTTGGATGCGAAGAATAGATTAGATTGGTTGAGTTTGATGGTTTATTGAATACGATTGTAGCTATCAATCTAAACAGGCAGAGAGAAGTTTACTGAGATGGTAGTTATTTTTATCATCTTATTGTTAGCATTTCTTCTTTGATTCCAGTCCAATCAAAAAGGTTTTCTTGCCCCCTTGAGAAGCATATGTTGGAAATATATTTGAAATGGGAATTGTTGACAACTTAAAGTACGTTGGCTTCTTTTTTCCTAACTCCAATTGTGTTTCTCAATAGTAAATTGGAGTATGAGATAACTATAGTTCTTTGTGTTGCACTCAAGCATTTGGCTCATTGGTTGGTGCATGATCTCTGTGCTTAAAGTGCAGAGTTTGGATCTCCCTTCCCCTAAGTCCAAAAGAAAAAAAACTATAGCTCGTTGTGTTGCGTATTTGGCATTTGCATTTATTTACTAAAAGCTGACCTTTTGCAGAAAGTAAAGTTAGACCAGAGCTCACAACGATTCTAGCAGGCTCCTCTGGTTCAATGAAAGCTGATGAAGTTGCCAAGAAAGCTTTAGATGGCATCAAATCTGGAAGTTTCATTGTCCCTTGCAACTTTGAGGGGCAGATGCTTGCCATAGCTACTGCTGGTTTGTCCCCTCAGAGATCTTTCTTGATGGCATTCATTGAGGTGGCTTTCATTGGTATATTTCGTCTTGTAGCTTTATTTTTCCAATGGAACTGGTATGGGAGCATAGAACAGTGGCATGCAAAGAAGAAAGGTAAGTGTGCGGTAAAAGATTTGCCTATTTATATCCAGGAGAAAAGATACATTGCCCACCTTATTGAACTTGTTTTTGTCTATTTATTTGTTTTTAATTTGTTTCTCTCATGTCAAGTTGAATGGTCAAGAACTTGAGATTTGATTAATATCAAGGGATAGCATTTAGTTTTAATTAGGGTGTGTAGATTTTTCCTCTTAGGAATTGAGGCTATGAGAATATTGTGTTAGACAGAATCTATCAAATATTGGCGAAGTTAAACTTTTGGGGTTTCCAGTTCTTTCAAGAATTAGGAGTTTGCATGAATAATGCCCCAAAGAGGTTTTTCCTCTGTTTCTTTATCAAAAACTTATGGTTGACGGCAATTTAAACTACAGCATTGTGTTTGGACAAGTTCAATAAGGTGGATAGTTTTAACTTTCATTAAAAAAAAGGTCCAAAGTTTTGTTTTCAAGTTAGATTCTTTGCTAAAACTTAAAATGATAGTTTTCCCCCTTCTAAATCCTGATAACCAAAAAACTAAGATTGTTAGTGTTATAATATCAGCAGGGGTATCTGCTCATTGGTAGAAGGTGAAGGCTATTACAAATTAGAATACGACTCATATTTCCTCTAAGCATACCCTGTTTGTTTCAATAAGGAAAATTGGCAATTAGGTATTTAGTGTTGAAGCTATGTCCAAAGTATCATGGAATCGCTTTTTTTCAGACATTATATGACAATATGAGCCTTTCTTTGGAAAAGGTGTAAGTGCTTGATTGTTTTATTGAACACAGTTTTTTGTGCATGATTATTACTCCTTTTATTATGTCAAAACTGTAAGGAGCAATAATGTCATGATAAAATGTTTTCCATTGGCTTTCTTGATTTCAGAGAAATAGAATTCCTTGGTGCTTGATGTGGATCAGCATTGCTTCTTCTGGCATCTATTACTTACTTCTAGGATCTCATGGACGTGGATCTTTGGCTAATAACAAGTTTCAGCTTTCAGCATTCAGGAACTGAAGCTCTCCCGAACTCTGCATCTAAGTTTCAGCACATTTCAACTAATGCCATGTATATCTAAAAGATCAGATACCTTAGTTTTTTACATTCCGACTTTCAAATTAGCTGTTGCTAGAAATGAAATGTAGCCAAATTTTAATACAGTGAAGAGCTGCAGCAATTATACGTTTGCATTGGAAAGTTATAATGTGTGTTTGAACTTTTTACTAGAATCTTGAGATGTTTCCAAGAATTACAAGTTTTAATCGAGAAAACTGCCTTCTTTCTCAATAACCAAAATTTGGACATTTGCTTTTTATTTAATCCATGTCATTTGAATCACAGCAACTATGGTTATTCTTGTTGTTCAAGTATGTTCCTTGGCAGAGCTGAAACTTAAAATGGGAAAGCAAGATATGAAGTTTTGACATAAACTTGGGTTTGTTGCCCCTCACAGATCTATCTATTTTACATTTACTGGAGTTTCTAACCTTACTTTGCTTAACAGAGAGGCTGCCGCCATATATTCAGTAAAGAACCATGTAATATTTGCTAAGTTTTTTTAACAGTTTAGTCACCTCACAAGCTCATGTGTGCTGTGCCCAGAAAAAGGTGTCTCAGCGTCAAAGTGGGGTCAAATTAACAAGCCACAGAAACAAGATTCAGTTCCTTTTCTCTCAAGAAGTCATTGGTTCAAAAACCCTTGCAAATTTGATCTCTAAGCGCTCGCCTCTTATGTTCTATAATCCAGAAAAATCTCTGAAGGTAAAAATTTGAGTTTTCCAATGTCAAAAGTTTTGGTGAAGGAAGGAAATCGGTACATCCAGGGCCTTTAGGTAGGATCAAAGAGAGTTTGAGAAGAAGGTTGTGATTGCGAATGAGGATGATGTTCTGCTAAAGTTGCTTAGGGGCATACCAGGATGGGATGAGATTTGAAGCATTCAATAACCAGTTGGTGAAATATAAATTGCGTTGAACAAAGGACTGAAGTATCAAAATGCCATGATTCACAATAACACTGATGAAATCAGATTGGTTTACAATGTCAGTGATAATTGTTTTAGCCTCTTTTTGTTCAGAACTTAGGGCTGTACATCAATTGCTGCTATTATGTCTAATCTTTGCAGTCTTACATCGTAGAAATAAAAGATTGTAACTTGGTAAGTGTAATTGGTAGTCACAAATGTGTATGTCTGTTATTGCTTTTTGTGCCAGTGATCCAAGGTTTTCTCTATCATTTTGTTTGAGATGCTTCTCCTTCCTGTTTTTATGAGGAAACTACCAGAATTTGTTAGCATTGAAGGAGATTCAAAGAGGTGCCTTCAGCTGTCTTTGTGGTTGGTTCGCAAGTTGCTACAGCTTTGGTGTGAAATTGATGGCAAATTTAGTTGTTTTGAGACTTATTTGTTGAGAAGGATGAATAGAGGTAGAGAATTTGGGGTGGGGAATGAGGCACTAGAAAAAGATGGTGAGCCAACCAAATTCCGGTGAGCCAACCAAATTCCTCTTTTTGTTTCGAAGTGTGTGATTCTATAGGTAAACTTTCTTCCATTCAGTTTTAATTATTGTACCTTGGACAGGGTAATGGAGACCTTGTCCTGGCCTTTTGGGTGGAAACTTAGAAGGCTTGGCCTTTAGTTGGTGGGCCATGTGCCCTAAATAAAACAAAAGCATACTTTGAAATTTGAATGTCAGTCCCATTTCCTTAGGACATATGCACCTTGACTCTGCAGGCCCCGGCCACCCCTACCTAAAAAAAAGAATGCTGCTACAGAGATAAAGGTAAACCAGATTAGCAGAGTAGGACACAAAACTGCAAACAGTCCAGACCATGTGGAAGATTTGGGGGCTACAACAAGGTTACTTTTCTATCATTTTGGGAGCCTTAGGCCCTTTAAGCTGTGCATAGTGTAGGTTGGCAGCTTCTGCAATTGATACTAATTGAAGTTAATGGTGATTTCTGCCTCCATTCAAAGTTCATGAATCAAGAGCTACTGTCATTCTCAAAGAATAGACATGAAAATGAGTACATGAGAAGTAAATTATGTTAATAAACAAGAAACATTCTTTTATTCAATGGATGACCTAACATTGGCAGTAGCCTTAACCTTTTCATTTTCATAAATATATGACTGTTGAAAGTCAGTAAGGCTTTGCAGTAAATGCATGGGTGTAAACATTTCAAAAATTGTGCTGGTGGGATGTAGGTGGGGGATGGATTTAGGCAAAACATATTTGTGTCTTTGCAGTAGCTCTCACTGTCAGTAGTGGTCCCTCTGAAATCCTTGTCCCATTTTTTATTTTAGAACCATTTTCTCTTCATCACTTTCATGTTATTTAATCTTCTTTGCCTTACCCTAGGAAACTGAACTGTCTTATATGCAAAAGATGCTAATTTTCCACTTAACAACAGTAGCATTATGTTGCCTAAAAATAAGAGTTCACTTTTCTTGCTGACTGTCTTTGTCTGTCTGTCATGGCGGTGGAATCTTATCTCCTTGAGTGCTGAGTGATTAACTGTTTGGTTTCCATTAATCATTTGCTAGGTAGGTTAATTAACAAGCTAAGCAACTCAAATTGCTTTTCTAGAAGCAGTTTATTTGCTAGGCAAAAATGTCTGTCTGTTGTCTGACAAGAAAAATCCCAAAGTCCTAAATACTTTCATCTGATCAGAAAAGGCCATTCTGATATCTGAACTTGCAAAACCTATTAAGTGGAAGCAGAGCTGCATTTTCCATCATCTCAGGCCAAAAGGTCCCATGAAAATCTGTACATGAACACAAAGCTGGCTCATCTTTGAACTGGGAAGATATTTTTGCACTGATTTTTGTGAACTAGGATGCCTTGACTGAGTCAGATATGCTACTATCCGAATCTGAAAATTCCAAGCCAGGCTGCTTTGGCCCCCCCATCCAACATACCTCTTTGTCTGGGCAACTCCCACCACCTCAAATTAGTTTCTACAAACATGCAAAGATTCTCATCATACTAATATAAACATATAACGTTTAAGACTAAAATCCATGATTGTGAAGTGGGATTTTGATGTTTGGTGATCTAAATTTCGAAGTATGGGCAGTTAGCGTGGTTAAGGTAAGGTGCTAGTGAGTATGCTTGGGATTCCAAGGCTAGTTGTAAAGTTAGCAGTATGGTCTTGCCTTCAAAACAGGCTGTCCAAAGGGGCCCTCAAGATTAAAGAGATGCAAAGTTTCTAGCAGCAACCCAAGTTCCAATGATGATGCCTGATCTATTTTCTCTTTAAGCCTTTTGGTTTTAGACTTATTCTTAATAATTTTAGTTAGTGAAAAGACATTGAAATTGCTTTCATCATTTTGCCATATTTGATGTTGTCTTGCTGATAGTTCCCATTGTGCTGAAAGCAAAAGGTTTATCTATCAATTTCATCATATTCAGACTTAAAAATCATATAATGGATTATTGTATAACATAGACTTTTGTGACTTGGACTAATTATAAGCTTTTTTTAAGACTCTTTTCTAATTATTTGAAAACCCTAATTCAGACTAAACAGCTAAAACAAAAGGTCAATTTAAGCAAGAAAAAGGAAAGAAAACCATAATCAGAGCCAAGTTTGTCTCACTCTCATCAGTAAAAGAAATCACATAATTCAAACAAAGAGGATACAACAAAAAAAAGAAAAAAAAACAAAAAAGGAAAAACCCATGTGATGGCATTGTTGTAAATATTCTAGAACTGCAAGGCCTCTTACAATCATTCTCAACAGTAACAATTGCAGACGCAACACCAGAAAAAAAAATCAAGAACTATTGTTTTTTAACAGTATACTCTGCATTTCTTGAGGACTCTTTCTCTGGTCACGTATAAAACAGTCCCCACTTACCTTTGTCCTCCAAGAAAAACAAGGATCATCCCATTAATGCACCTCCCTCTTAATTGCATTATCCGTTATCTTTTATTGTTTCTCTGTTTTGTACGACCTTTTCAACTACCACCTTCCATTATATTGCAGCTAAATAATACTCACACTTCACAGAAGCTTAGCCAAAGTATATTAAAATTAAAACTGGCATTACTTTTAGCTTTAAGTTCATTTTTTTTTACGTTGTTTTGGTTTCTGGGTTGTTGTTTAATTTCCTATAAAGTAGATAAAGAGAGAGAGATAGCGACATGTTCATTGGATCGTGAAAGTTGCTTGTTTGTTATTGTTCTCGTGTTTCTCTCCATTGGGTTTCTTTCTTCTTTGACTGAAGTTAGTTGAAGTGTTGAACTTTTCTTTGGGAAAAATACCATCTTTGATCTTCCCAAGTAAGAATAATTTTTTTTTCTGTTTTTCTTCCAGCATTTGCTTGAATTTCAGCTTTTCAAGCTTTTGAGTGTGCTCTTGAATTGGGGTTAAGGTTGAATTACTGTCGAGAGACTAGTCTTAGCATATGAGCAGGATTTGGAGCTCTTTACTCCAGTGAAATCTCACTTCTTGCACTTGTAAAAGGTTCAACCTTCAGGTAAAGCATTGCTATGAAGCTTCCTTTTGTTAGGTATGTTTCAGTTTCTTTTGAATTTAACATTTCTGCTTTAATTCTAGGGCTTATATTCACCTCTTGAGACATCTGGAGTTTGTTGCTTTACAAGCTTGTTCAATGGGATACTTTTACTTGTTTGTTCTAGCATTGTTTTCATGGAGTTATTTTATCCGAACTACTCATGGATTGCAAACTTATCAAACTCAACTTCTGCTGCAAATAAGGAAGCACTTAGAGTACCCTTCACAGTTGCAAATTCTGGATAATTACAATGGGGACCTCTGTAACTTGTCTGCAGCAGGAGATGTGATGATATCTTGCCAGGACAATTTTGTCACCGAGCTTAAGATTAGGGGAGATAAGCTTGCCAATATTAGTGGATTCAATGGATATGCAATTCCTGGTAAAACTTTGTCGGAGACTTTCTCCATTGATTCTTTGGTTACCACATTGACAAGGTTAACCAGTTTAAGGGTGCTTAGTTTAGTGTCTCTTGGGATTTGGGGGCCACTTCCTGATAAGATTCATAGGCTATATTCTCTTGAACTTTTAGACTTAAGCTCCAATTTCTTGTTTGGCTCTATCCCACCACAGATATCTAGAATGGTTAAGCTTCAAACTCTAACATTGGATGGCAATTATTTTAATGATACTATTCCTGATACACTGGATTCCATATCAAATCTTACTGTTCTAAGTTTGAAGGGCAACCGGTTGGAGGGACAGTTTCCTTCTTCAATATGCAGAATTTCAAGTCTAACGGATATTGCCTTGTGCCACAATAAGCTTTCTGGAGAATTGCCTGATTTGAGTTCCTTAACTCGCCTGCGTGTGTTGGATTTAAGAGAAAATCAGTTGGATTCCAAACTGCCTGGCATGCCCCAGGGATTAGTTACAGCTCTTCTTGCTAAGAACTTATTTTCTGGTGAAATTCCTGGGAAATTTGGCAAACTGAGTCATCTTCAGCACCTTGACTTATCATTCAATCATCTGAGTGGAAGACCCCCCTCTGCCTTGTTTGATTTGCCAAGCATGACTTACTTGAATTTGGCATCAAATATGCTGAGTGGTTCACTTCCAGAGCATCTAACTTGTGGTAGCAAACTTGGGTTTGTAGATATTTCCAGTAACAAGTTGTCTGGTGAACTTCCTTCTTGCTTGGACAGTATCTCAGATAAGAGAGTAGTCAAATTTGGTGGGAATTGCTTGTCAATTGATCGCCAACAGCAGCATCAAGCTTCACATTGTAAAGAAGCAAACACAAGGAAAAGTAGAAGAGAGATAGCAGTACTAATTGCTATTATTGTCGGATCGGTTCTCCTTCTGGTTCTTTTGGCATTTGGGGTTTATATTTTGTCTAGAAGATGCTGCAGAAGACGGACTTTTGAAACTCACATAAGGCAAAAGGTTGTTCAAGACAATCCAACAAACGGGGTTTCACCTGAAGTTCTTGCAAATGCCAGTAAGCAAATACATTTCTTTTGTTGTTTCCGTCATCTCAAATTGACCTGAGATATGTCTGTACTTAATAAAGGTCAAGTCTGTATTTAGTAGCTTATTAAAAGGGAGTTCATCTTGATTTCTTAACCCTTTTTTATAGTGCTTCAAAGGGAAATTTGAGTTATTATGATTGTTACTTATAATTATTTAATTTCATTCTTAGGATTTATTTCAGAAGTTGTTAAGTTAGGGACACAAGGTGCTCCAGTATGTCGACTGTTTTCCTTGGAAGAGTTGAAGGCAGCCACAAATAACTTTGATTCATCAATGTTTATGGGTGAAGGCTCCACTGGGAAGGTATTCTCAAAACTGATGTATTATTACCTTTAGATGGTTTTTTATTGTCAGTAAACATGAAATCAGATATTAGAAGTATTATTACACAATGGTGTTTTTATGACTTTCAGTTGTAATAATCACCCTGCTAATCTTTATCAATAAAATATTTTGCAGAGCTCAAGTTCACAAGTATTCTGCAGAACTAAGAATTTTGAATGGGAATAGTTGATGATCTTGGAAAATTTTATTAACACCATATTATTATAGCTTTAAATGATTATTATCCCTTTTAGAAAATTTGTTCTTTCATTTTCTTTTCTGGAAGCTTGCCAACTATGAAAATAGCTTGCGGGAGCTAAGCTATAGAAAACAACTATACCTATTAAGTATATCTATTCGGTTTTGCCCTCATCAGTGAGCAGGCTAGATGTGCAAATACTTGTTTGTATAGTTGTGTATGCTATCACAAAGACCTTTCTGACTTCATTTGTTACTCTTTTTCAGCTTTACAAAGGAAGATTGGAGAATGGGACCCATGTTGCCATTCGATCTTTGACTTTACTGAAGAAATATTCAATTCAAAATCTTAAAGTTAGGCTTGAGTTCTTCTCAAAGCTTCACCATCCACATTTAGTAGGCCTTTTGGGTCACTGTATTGATGGTGGTGTACAAGATGATCCCAGTGCAAACAAAGTCTTCCTTGTACATGACTATGTGCCTAATGGGAATTATCATATGCATCTATCAGGTCAGCACTGCATTTAAACTTAAAATTATATTGGTACATGATAAGTGCACAGCTATAAATGTATTTAAGTGTGCTTGCTTAGATATGTCTGTATTGGAAACCATGGCTATGAATGTCTTTAAGATTATGTCTAAAACATATAAGCACAAATGCTAAAAGGAGAGGATATGCATCTACTTGAAACTGGTTAAAATGCTTTGTTTGGTTCATGGTGCAAGCAAAAATTTGGACAGAGAGAGTTGACAATAATATCAAAGATTTAGATTGTGATGCTGTAAGATGCTCATACATATTGAGCCAAAAAAAAAAAAAGATGCTCATACATTTCTAAAAAGAATAGTGGAAAAAGGAAAACTTGATGGAGGTTTGCATAATAGACAATATGGAGTTGCCTTGTTCGATCTGAACCCAGGGACTTGCAAGGGTATGGTTTTAGGTAACCCACTTACCTAGGGACTAACCTGAACACCCTCAGTTCTAACCATCTTCTAATCCTTAATGTCTGCTGGATTCTGACAACCTTAAATCTGGAAACATGATGCAGAAAATTGTCCAGAGAATGTTCTTAAGTGGTCAGATAGGTTAGCGATTCTAATTGATGTTGCCAAGGCTGTACATTTTCTACATACTGGGGTTATTCCTGGTGTTTTTAATAACCGGTTGAAGACAAATAATATATTGCTGGATGAGCATCGAATAGCAAAGCTGAGTGACTATGGGATGTCCATCATCATGGAAGAAAATGAAAAACTAGAGGTATGTTTTCTAGTTATTTAAATTTAACTTGTTACTTGGAAAGATATCATGGTCCTCAGTGGTTATCTGAAATATTTTTTGTTTTGCAGGCAAAGGGAGATGGCTTAAAGTCTAGGTATTGTCTGGAGCAATTCTCAGCATTCTATCTGAAATTTTAGCTTACAATTATATTCTTGAGATTAGAATTTGAATATCATCTTAATGCCTCTTTACATAAGATTATGGACATCCATTACTAACAAGAATTGTAGCGGATAGAAAATCATCTTTTGATAAGAATTTATACTTGACAGTTAATACTATTCTGTATTCTCACTGGAGGAGCAATTGCTTCTGCTGCTTCCACTTCCCTTCCCCCCATGGCAATTGCTGCACTACCTGCTTTAGGACTTGTACCCCTCACCAACAACTCTGCCGTTACTGCTACCATCTCAACGATTCTCTTATCCATTTACCATCTACCTTTAAACATATTTTGTGATTTGCTGTCAACGCCAGTTGGTTGCAGTCATTTTTTTTCAATGATTGATTTCAACCATGTCTCACCTTTTCTTTTGTTGTGCCTCTGATTTGTTGTCTCTTTTCAATTTCTAGGAGACAGCTCCACAACTAGCAGAATCATCTAGCTTTAGTCACTGAATACTAATTTGAGAGAAACATGCTTATGAAAAATGAGGCCAAATAGCTAATTTGTTGTCTCAACCAACATGATGTCAAAAATTTTGATATTTCTATTGGATCATATTGATGCGTACAAATTGTTGTTTATATAACTAAATCCCTTGCATTCTTTATTGCAGCCAAAGGAAAAATTTAGAGGATGATGTTTACAACTTTGGATTTATATTACTTGAGTCTCTTGTTGGGCCTATAGTGAGTGGAAAAGGAGAAACATTTCTTCTGAATGAAATGGTAAGCCACTGATTTTTTCTTTGATGAATTCCATTTAATACAATATTATCTTAGGATAATGGTTACCAGCTAAACAAATACAGTCAAAATGTGTTAGGTTCTAGAAAGCTTAGATTTAGAATTGAAATGTTAAGAAAAATCTTGCTTTCCATAAGAGTTGGAAGAAGGTATAACCCTATGATCATGAATTACAATCACAGGCATCCTTTGGCAGCCAGGATGGTCGAAAGCAAATTGTGGATCCATCTGTGTTGACCACTTGCTCACAGGAGTCATTATCAATAGTGGTATCTATTACTGGAAAATGCATATGTCCTGAGCCATCATCTCGGCCTTCTTTTGAGGATGTTCTTTGGAACTTGCAGTATGCAGCTCAAGTCCAGGCTGCAGCTGATGTTGATCAGAAATCTGATTCTACATCATAGCCATTTGTATATGTTTAGTGCCACACCTGATCTTTAGTTTGTAGGAAACTGCAGACACTTCTCAGATAAAGCTCTTGGAAGGTGCTCTCACGTAAAACTTGAGTTAGGTCTGTATTGAGCTGCTTTTCCTGAGAAATGAGAGTTGTAAATGACATTTTTTAGATCTTGAAATGGAAAATTTTTGGTAAAGCAGACGTTTCTTGCGTACAGTTTTGTTATAAGAAAGTTGCTGCTGCCATTGGCAACAAGGAAATGACACCAAATACTGGACTTATGATCACTACTAACAGCCTAGTTGAAAGGTCTGTTCTGTTTTTTATCCCTTACTCTCCCTTTCAAAGACAGGCTTGCTATATGGTAAGATTTTGGATTATGCTGATTTCTGTTATCCTAGATAATCATAACTGATTGATAATTGCCTTTGAGAGAATCTAACATCATTTAACTTCCAATCATTAAAAGCAAGTCCAGAGCCTCTCGATTACTTTCCAACTCCAAGTATCTGCATTAGTTATAACTGTCTGACATGCCCTGCAATGTCCAAATGCTTCTGTTATTCCATCTTGCCTTGGAAGGACCTTCAAAATATACCTTAGCAGAAGCAGAAACCTTCGCATCACAATTATTATGCTTTCATTGCTTTCAAATTCAGGCAAAGTTCCCTGGCTTTGGTTTCTGGTATGTCTATCATTGTCTGCAACGCAATGGCTTGCCATTCCTATTTGAAAATTACACATGCTTTACTACCTTAAAGTTGCTTAGGGTACCTAAACAATCATCACCAAAAGCAAAGCTGTTGAAAGCTAGTTTGGTCATCTGAATGTTAATTGATTTTTCTTCACTTATTCATAGCCTCCCCAAGGGTTATGCCCCATTAATTTCTAGAGGCAAAGCCCACCGGAAGTAGTGATACACTGGTTAGACTTTGAAACCAGACAGGTCTCTTTGCCGTTGAATGTAGTTGGCACATCCCTGGCCTAATTCTATTGGATACAACCCATCATCGCCTATGGTTGATAGCTGTTAGTTAGCCCCTGAACCTTACAAGATAAGAGAAGGAATGAGAAGAGTCAAATCCTACCTGAAGCATTGATAGTAGAATATCATAAACATAACCACAAATATATTCTACTAGCAGAAGGAACTTAGTCCTCCTAATTATACTAATAAATAAATACTAGTAATATTATTATACAATAATGATCTATCTAGCTGGACATTTGAAAACGCCCAACAAAGGATGACTAAAAATCATATCACTCTTCTGTCTTCACCTACTACATTGGCCATATTTGCTTTTGATCAAGCTTCCTCTGGACTGAGACATCTCAACCCAACCTTTCTTCTTTCTCTTTCTCTTTCCCTTTGGTGAAAGTGTTTGTTTGCTTTGAGTTCAAGTTCATTTTTCTTGTGAAGCAAACAAGTAACTAACTACACAAATTTACAATTCCATTACACTACTGGGTTGTTGCCTTTGTTGGTTAAAATCAAAAATCATTTTTGATGGGTATTTATTATTTAACCATTTTTCTTTGTTAAAAAAAAAAAGAGGAAAATTCAATGGGTGGAAATGGATAATGGGCTTGATTAGCCCATTGATGAAAAGCCCAAAGAGCGTGGGGTCCACTTTCCTAGGGTGCGTGTGTTTTTGACTGAAAAGTGAAAAACAACGGTTCAATGTCGGCGGAACGAGACAACCCGAGACGAAAAAGGTCGCTCGTTTCAACACATGTTCCACTTCGATCCCACCCGCAATTTCAGAGATTTACGCTGACGACGAAGAACCCGTCCGAGCGTTTTGTCCACATTCCCCCTAATCGCGTGCCGAAATCTCTCCTTACGAAAAATGACGTCTATGCGTATTTATTTAAGTGGAACCAATTTCCGCCAGCGCATCACAATCGAAACAGAAAACGACGCGATGAAACCTTGCAACAACTGCAGCGTTTAGCATCGACAGAATCAATAATTTATTTATAGAAACTCTGTTCCTTTGTTCTTCGATGTAAGAAAAATAATTAATTAACTATTGCTTTATATTTTTATCAAGGCAGCATTTATTTAATTTTTTACCATTTTGTTTCAGGATCAGTAGTCACTCAGAGCCAGCCAGCCTCAAAAAAATAGGCCTTAAGCATCTCAGCTTCTTTTATTCTTCTTCCATGGAAGCAGCCACTCCAAAGCGCAGCGTTTTAGCTTTCCCATTTCTTCATTTCTTCTTCTTCTGCTAATTTTCCTGGTAAATTTTCTTGCCACATTCAGTGTACCCAGAGTGAAATATTGGCTGCTTTTCTCAGTTCACAATTTTCCTCCTCTTTTGGGCCAGTTTTTATCTCTGCATTGCAAAGAATCTAGTTTTTGTCAGCATATTTGAGCTGAAAATTTAACATTTTTTCAGCATATTGTGTTTAAATGAGCTGGATCTGATGCTCAAGAACAATAACATGTCAATTTAGTGGCATTTTTGTTTTTTTTTCATTGAGTAACTTTCAATGAGCTTCAAAGTTTCTACATTTAGTTGCAATTATTTATATTTTGTATAAATTTTTTGAGCTTTAATTCTTTTGTCAATTTCATTGCTTTAATTCTTTTTTCGGTTCCATTTGGAGCTATTTTTCTGTTTTGCATTATTTCTGTCGGCCTTAGTGGCGTAGCCTTTGATGATATCTTGCCAGAACATTTTTTACTTTCTGTTTCTTTTAATCTTTGTTCTTTTGAAAGCTACATGCCCTTATGTTTGGTTGTTGAGCAAATGCAGGAAAAACGTTTGTCTTTGGTTGTTGAGAAAGAGCAGGAAAAATTAGTCTTGTTAAGCTGAGTTGTCGTTGTTTCCTTTTTGCTTGATCCTTCGTGATAAAATGTATTAGGATTTAGGATTACAAGCTTGGTCTCTACTAGTTCTGCATTTGGTACTTGATACAAAGTTTTTATTCTGAAATTAAATTGCTTTCTGAATTGTAGGAATTTAACTGTCTTGCGGATTGAATAGGTTAAACGCATCCTGGTAAAATACTGGTGTCTGTGCAACAATGGTTCTTGGTTTGAGTGCAAAGAACAGGAGAGGGCCGACGGTTCATGTTGATTATCTAATCCACATTCAGGAGATTAAACCTTGGCCACCATCACAGTCACTGAGGTCACTTCGTTCTGTCCTGATTCAGTGGGAAAATGGTGAACGTGGTTCAGGGTCTACCAACACTGTTTCACCCACGCTTGGTTCCATCGTTGGTGAGGGAAAGATTGAGTTTAATGAGTCATTTAAGTTACCTGTGAATCTAGTGAGGGACCTGTCTGTTAAAGGGAGGGATGCTGATGTGTTCCAGAAGAATTGCTTAGAATTTAACTTGTATGAGCCTCGGAGAGATAAGATCCAATTGTTGGCTACTGCCATTGTGGATTTGTCTGAATATGGTGCTATCAAAGAGACGTTAGACATTGCTGTTCCAATGAACAGCAAGAGGAGCTTTAGTAACAGTGCTCAGCCAATTTTGTTTATTAAAATTGATCGAATTTATAAGGGTCAGAACAGCTCTTCATCAAGAAGTGGCCTGTCAGAAGAGCAGTCACTGGACAGGAAAGGAAGAGAGTCTGTTTCTGCTCTGATGGATGAAGAATATGCTGAGGAAGCCGAGGTTGCTTTGTTCACTGATGATGATGTTTCCTCACACTCATCTCTGACTGTTTCTTTTTCGACTTTGGAATCTAATGGAAGTTCACTTCCTCGAAATGAAGAGGTAACTTTTACTTATTTCTTAAGGGATCTTCAGATGGGGTTAATTCCTTCTTTTTTCCCTTTTATGTGCTGGGGCATTTCTTGAGGAAATGCTGAAACAATTCTATCTGAGAGATAGAATTTTTTAGGTGTAATGCACCCTTTTCATACATCTCTTTGCTGGTGGAACCAACATCTCCCATTCTGCCCTTAGATCGTGATGCTGTTGTTCTGGGGCATGGCCTTTATGGTCAGCCTAATGGGATGCCTTGAGTTTCTTTGATAAGTTAAATTGCACTAGCTAATATAGTAATTGGTACTAAATTGCAGAATGGATCAGTCACTGTAATTGATGGCAAGGGAGAAGTTAAAGGGGAACATGCCTTGGCTTCAAAGTTGCACCTTGAAAGAACAAATGTGGTGACGCAGATCACACAACGTGAAAACTCTAAGGGGAATTCATCGTGCTCGTCATCAACAGACTTATCATCTGGCTTTGAGAGTTCAGTAGATGCTCATGCTTCCACATCTAACACTTATAGTTCCAGTTCACCTGTACGAGATAATGCTCTCACCCATAACGTTTATTTGTCTTCCTCATCCTTGGCTAATGAAAATACACAGAATGAAAGCAACACTAGCATGAGAAGCAATGACCGTGAAGATTTATCTCAAAAGGTTCAGGAAAAGGTTGTCAATGGAGGAACCACTGTTAGGAGTAATGGTCAAAGTAAGGAAGATACATCTGGTAGTTTGAAGGCTAAATTGGCATCCTCAGCTAACGGTCCTCAGATGGTTGGTAGGCAGGACTCTAAAAGATTTAGTGGTTCTCTGGTTGATGGAGAAGATGATAATAAAGCCCAAAGAAATGGCAAAATTTCCTCTGAGGAGCCTTCAGCTGCTGCTGATGCATATGATAATTCTTTGGAAGGAAACTCAGGATATGATTGCCTAGAAAATGGACATGAAGGACTATACAGGGAAGATAAAAGGTATTCTACTGAAGATGAACCATTGAATATCCATTCACCGGATAATTCTTTAAGCCAGGGGAATCTTGGAACAATGGGCAATGTCCTGAAAATTGACAGACTAAAGCATGTCAAGTCTGTTCGATCTTCATCGGACTCAGTTAGGAGCAATGGATTGTCTAGTGATAACCAGCATGCAGAATTGAAGGAAGTTGGTGTTCTGGGGGATGCACTGCATGGGGGTGGAACCTTCAGAAGCAAATCAGGCAATGAAAGGAAAGATGCTAAGGTATACCCCAAAGACACTAGAAGTGCCATTTTGGATAACAAAGTGCAGCACTTGGAACACAAGATAAAGATGCTTGAAGGGGAGTTGAGAGAAGCTGCTGCTGTCGAGGCTGCCCTGTACTCAGTAGTGGCCGAGCATGGAAGCTCCATGAGTAAGGTGCATGCTCCAGCTCGGCGCCTTTCTAGGCTGTATCTTCATGCTTTTAAGGAAGGCATCCAATCAAGGAGAGCAAGTGCAGCTAGAAGTGCTGTTTCTGGACTTGCTCTGGTTGCAAAAGCGTGTGGAAATGATGTTCCGAGGTACATTTGAGTCATATTATCTCGAACATTCTTAACCATCAGCTTACATCAACATTTTAAAGTACTTTTAATCTAATTTCACAATTCTTCCCTAAATTTTTCGTTTTAATAACTAGGCTTTTTGATTTTCATGGGTGGGGCTGGGAGTCATTGTTTTGTAGGGAAAAAGAAAGGGGCGAGGGGAGTGGGAAGAGCAGGGGAGAGAGCTATATCTGCATTTTTCCCAGAAATACCATGAATTGAGGAGTGATATTTGAAAATTTCAGAGCCATTCTTCTTTAGATGTTTGAATCGGTGAAAATTGTGGTGATATCCCTTGCCAAGGCCAAACTTTGTGAATAATATAGTTGGTTAGAGGCTGGTCTATGTTGCTGTGTCTTGTGACTTGAAGCTTAAAAGATGAAGCTATGATAAGTTCAAGGAAACTATTTTGACTCTCTAATGAAATCGTATCATTGATGATGATTACAGGTTGACATTTTGGTTGTCAAACTCTGTGGTGTTGCGAGCAATTATAAGTGAAAGTATTGGAGATTCAGAGTTACCACTTTCTACTGGGCGCGTGGAAAGAATAGGAGGTGGAATGGGGAAGAAACAGGTATCATCTCCGTTGAAATGGAAAGAATCCTCATCTAGAAGTAAGGAAAATAAACTTATCTCATATGGAAGTTCTAGTGACTGGGACAACCCACATACCTTTACTTTAGCCCTGGAAAGGGTTGAAGCATGGATCTTTTCCAGAATCATTGAGTCTGTTTGGTGGCAGGTAATACATACACTCTTTTCTCCCCTTTTATTCATCAAGTTTTTTATTAAAATATATGATGGCACACTGAATGTCACAAACTTGGATAGTTGTCTGACCAAATTATGTTCCTTATTTCCATCTCAGACTCTCACTCCACATATGCAGTCGGCAGCTAGAAAGGAAATTGATAGAGGTATGGGCTCTGGCTCAGGTAAAAGCTATGGGAGGGTATCTAGTTCAAGTGATCAAGACCAAATGAACTTTTCATTAGACCATTGGAAGAAGGCTTTCAAGGATGCCTGTGAAAGACTTTGCCCAGTTCGAGCTGCGGGGCATGAATGTGGCTGCTTGCGTTTGCTGTCTAGATTGGTAATATTCATTTTTGAAGAATTGATTACATGGCCCACAAGTATGACATACTAACAATTTATTTTGTAGTGGGAGGACAATGGCATTTGAAACTATTAGCTTTCTTGTTAGCATATTAGCATTTAAATGAGTATGAAGTTGTTTGTATAGGATAAGAGACTTTATAGAAGCATTAAAAGTAAAAACATTTATGAATTTCTTAAAGACATAAAGTGATTGTTGTTTTGCTTCTCACCCTGGTAACTGCTAATTAATTTAACATTTTTGGTAATGGTTTTGACGATTGCTTTGACTTCTTTATTGGTAACTGTCACTGGTCTTGTTCCCCTACCTGATGATACTTTTCTTCTTTTCAATTAAATATGTTATAATTCATCCTTATCATGCATCTAGATAATGGAGCAATGCGTGGCTAGATTAGATGTGGCTATGTTCAATTCTGTTCTTCGTGATTCTGGTGATGAGATCCCTACTGATCCTGTGTCTGACCCCATTAGCAATCCTCTGGTGCTTCCCATTCCATCTGGGAAAACAAGTTTTGGTGCTGGCGCACAACTGAAAAATGCGGTAAGCAATGCAAATGTGGTAGTCTCTGAGGTTAATGTTTGAGTAAGATCATTTCCCTCTGATGGTTAAATCTAAGTTTGCAAACTTCTAATATTACTTTTCCTTGTTGGTGCGGGCTGCCTGTGTGGGGGGTGTTTGACTTGACCTGCATGGCTTTCCTCCTGACTCTTCTCAGGCCATTTGAAATTTTACATAGTTGATCATATTAAATTAGATTTTTTGTCCGCTGAGGTTAAGGTGGTGACAGTTGTGTAAACCTTGGTTTTTCTCCTTCGAAGTAAAGCAATTCTTGTTGAATTTCATTTTTGTGGATGTCAGATTGGAAACTGGTCTAGATGGTTGACTGACCTCTTTGGTATAGACGATGATGACTCAGTTGGAGATGAGAATGACCAGGATGACAGTGAAGAGCGACAAGACACATCCTTAAAGTCTTTCCATCTCCTTAATGCATTGAGTGATCTCATGATGCTTCCCAAGGACATGCTCCTAAGTAGACCTATCAGGGAAGAGGTTTGACACCTTAACTTAAAGACCTTTTGTTTAATCTCCAGGCTTCATGGCCATTACTTTGCTGTTTATTCACAGAGCTTGATGTTTATTTCTAAGGTATGTCCGACATTTGGTGCAACATTGATCAAGAGAGTTCTTGACAACTATGTCCCTGATGAGTTTTGCCCTGATCCAGTTCCAGATGTTGTTCTTGAAGCCTTGGAGGCAGAGGTTAGTCATATAATCTGAAAGTACTCCTAAATTAGACTTTCACCGTGTTCACCTAACTCAACCACGAAAGTTAATTCATAAATTATGATGTGTGTTTAATGTATCTGCTCAGGCAAGAACTTTGGTAGAGTTGTAGGCTATGAAATGATTTCCTCCAATAGTACTAGTTGGTTTGATAACCTACAGCCCTTCAAAGATATGAAGAAAACCTCTGTGCCTCTATTTTGCTTCAGGATCCTGTTGAAGCTAGGGAAGGGTCTGTTACAAACTTTCCTTGTGTTGCATCTCCTCCAGTTTATTCACCACCTTCAGCAACTTCTGTTGCTAGCATCATTGGAGAAATTGGAAGCCAATCTCAGCTGAGAAGAAGTGGATCCTCAGTCCTCAGAAAATCATACACAAGCGATGATGAGCTTGATGAATTGAATTCACCCTTGGCTTCAATCTTCATTGATGGCTTCCGATCATCAACTGTTCAATCAAAGCCTAACTGGATATCAAAGGGAAATGGCTATCAAAATGCAATCAGATATGAACTCCTACGAGATGTGTGGATGAACTCTGAATGAATGTAGATTATGTGTTAATGAGTGTATAAATGATTGACACTGCCTTCTGTTTCCTTGAGCTGTAAATCTGTAGGTAAATTTTGGTTCGTGTATCTGTATAAAGAAAAGATTGACCATTGTTGTAGTTTTCACCTAAGAATAATTAATGGAGGGTCTTATCGAAAATAACCTTTGAAGAAACGAAGTTTGACCTTTTTCTCCTGCTTAATTCAGATGATTTGTCTGCATAGCAATGGCGTCAACATACACAGCAGGTAGAGAATGATTGCAGAGGTAGGTCTAAAAGGTGAATAAACAGAAATGCCGCTGCATAGCATTTAAGTCCAAGAGAGACTATGACAACATCAGACTTGTTAAAAAATATCAGACTTGTTAAAAAATATCAGGCTTTTGCTTGTCCCGATTACCAAACTCAGAGGCTGATAGAGTCAGATAACATTGCACAGGCAAATCATAGATAAAAAAAATGGGCATAAAGAGCCGTCACCAGATAGTTAAAACTCTTAAGAACCTTCCAGGACTATTATCTTTACAATTTTTGGTACAGTAGGAGACAGAGAGGATATAAACTTGAAATTTCTTCTTCAAAATAAATAATCAACAGTTAGACCACGCCATGTTCAACGTGACCAGTTTTTGTTTACTAGATAGAAAGCATGATGCATGATGTGAGCATCCAAAAGAAAAAAACAAAAGATGTAAAAGTCAAAGGAAATGAAGATGGAAATGAAAAGAAAATAATGCATCCTTTATATTATAAGTAGTCATACAGGCCAATGATATCATCTCTGCTCTGCTTCTCAAGCCAAAATTACGTTACACACTTTCAAAATGCTTAGTAACTCACAAAAAGGGAAACAAAAATTCTGAGGCAAATCCAAGTTCGGGTGTTTGCCACACTCAACTTATCTATCTCTCATCGTAAATATTTACTACCATGCCGGAATATCAATTTAAGTAAAGTAGGCACTGGATTTAAAGAATAACAAAGTTTATGCTGTCAGCTTATGTGAAGAACTGAGAGCATTCACATGCTGGAGATGCAATGCAGCCAAAAGACCTTGCCATGAATCTCCTGGTGCACCAGCCACCTGATAGTTGAGAAGCTTCTTTTGCTTACTGTAGTAATCTTCCAACGACTTGGCCTATGAAGAAGAAGATTATTTAGTTAGGAAAAATTTTCCACCTTCTGTGCTCATTTTATAGAATTGAATAGTTTTATCATGAAATTTTATGTTACACATTTCACTCGTCAAAGAATACTGAGAAGACTAATAAATAACAGGCATTGGACTAATGGATGATCTAGAGTAAGGTCCCAAAAGCATTATATGTTGAGCAAATGTGGAAAATCTTAACAGCCAGTTTAGAACATGTTCAGTGGATTACCTAAAATTACTTTGTAAACATTAGACAATAATATCAAACAGGAATATTACCTGCTCTGAGTATACATGGGCATTTTCCTTCCAGGAACTTCCTACATCCTTGGAGTTGCCTATGGGAAGAAACTCACTTTCAGAATTCTTCTTCAAAATGTACTCTTCAGTACATTTAAAGTTCACAACAAGATCAATATCAGCAATTTGGTCAAGAATCTCCTGAAAAGTTAAGAAAACAAAAGAGAACAAGCCTTTCAATGACACATAAAAAATGGGAAAAAAAAACCTGTAGCAGACTGTTTCATTCAGCTTAAAAAACTTAGAACCAAAAAGAGATTGACTTTCCTCTAACCAAATCACATTTGTAATCAGAGCATATAATCATGGTATAAAAAGAAGAAATGAAAAATATAAATGCCAGTCATAGATGACTTACAGCCTGCATCCTGGTACGAGGAATCCCTTCAAGAATAAAACCATTTTCACCTCCATAGTAACCTTCTTCAAGTCTCTTTGACAACAGAGCAAAAATTACATCCTCTGGGACAAGCTTCCCTTCATTCACCGCATTTGCAATCTAATAAACCCAAATAAGAGCAACCAATTAGAATTCTTCACTATATTACATACTGAAAAGTTTCTTTCATTTATAGAAGAATAAGAGTCCCTATTAATCAAACAATAAATCTTCAAATTTCTAAGTCAAATTTTACATACAAAAACTAATCTTGTTCCATACCATAGGGAAGAATCCTTTAAAAGAAAATACCCACAATTCAAATAAAAATCACTGAAAATATGTAAAGTTTTTCTGAATTAAAAAGAACCCAACTTTAAAAAAGACCCAGATTTTTTCACAAAATGAAATTCCTCGATTAAAAGAGATAAGAAAAAAGGACCTGTTTGTAAAGAGAAGAGTGAGGATTGAGCTCTTGTCTGACAAGGGTACCCATTGAAATATGAGGAACTTCTAGAAGCTTCGAAAGCCTCTCCGCATAAGCATGGCGTTTCACTCCTGGCTCCCCTATAAGCACCCACTGGACTCCCCTCTCCGGAGCCGAGCCACACACATCAACCTTCGGCTGTGAAGGACGGCGATCCCGGTGAGCTTGCTCGTACTCGTAATATTCATAATCGTAGTCAAGCTCCAAGGCAGCAGCTGATCCGAAGGCTCGGACTCCACGTCGAAGTGGGTTCACGAGAGAGGAAACCGCGGCGGTGGCAACTCGGAGTTTCGGAAGCCATGCCATGGTGGCGGTAGGGTTTTAAGGAGAGAAGGAGAAGTTAGAGAGAGTTAAGGAGCGTGCGGATCCTTTTTTGCTTATTTTGTAGAGAGCGAAGCGAGATTTGGAAATGCCACAGTTGAAAGAGAAAATTACCGATGGCACCATTGACAGATGTCAGGTTTTAATTTGTTACTTGGGTGCAGGAAAAAATCAGGTGGTTCTGAAACCTTGGAAATGTTGTGTTGTCACCTTCTGATTTGTGGCTGGAAAGAGGAAATTTCACGTGTGGATTGTCGGGGCTTTGGGAGTCGGCGCGACACGGAGTGTTGAAGGTTTAAAGTATGACACGTGGATCTAGATGCAAGAGTCAAAGCTCAATGCTTTTTGGCGGGGATTATGATGGTTGCCTTTAATTCCGCCACGTAGACAGTCAGATATGGCCCAAATTCTGCTGGCCATTATGAACTAAGTAAGCCCAAAAGAAGTCGAGTGTCCAAACAAGTTGGGCTTACTCAATATGTTTCAGGAACTGGGCCACTTTATCAGTCTTTGATATCAGAAATTAGAAGTGAGTATTAATTAGTTCACCTAAATTGAAATAATTGATTGAAATTGATTAAATTTGTTATGAATATTTTTGTGAACATCTATTTATGTTATCTATATCTAGATTTGATATAAATCAGATTAGATTAGAATTTAATTCATCTAATCTCTAAGTGTTATCTTCAACTTGTAAAAGGTTATTTGTCTATAAATTGACTCCTTTAGTTCATTTGTACACATACTTCAATATGATTTCTTCTCTCTCCCTAAATACTTTCTTTCCCTTTAAATGCTTTCTCTTATATTTCTCTTATAGTTGTTTTTTTAGATTTATTTCATAATATGTTATTAGTAGGATTCTCTTATCTCTCAAATTTTAGAATCATTATGTTTTCACCATTTTTAAGCTTCAAAAAGATTTCAATGATTGGGTTTTTGATTTTTGATTTAAAAAAAAATTAGATAAGTAACTTGATATTTCTTTAATATTTTTATTATCTTAAAATCAACTTCAGTATGAATTTTACTATTTTATATTATATTTTGTCTCTTGATTGGAAAGTAAATTTGCTATTATATAGCTATTGATGAAAAACCATAAATGTCCATTCCTTGAAGTGAATGTGACAAATGAGCTACTAATAAAAATTATGAATGTTCATTCCCTATAGTGAATGTGACAAACGAAATACTAATAAAAAAATTATAAATTCGTTTATTTCCTAAAGTGAATGCGGCATCATTTAATAATTATGATCATAATCATGAATCCATCCATTCTTTAAAGTGAATACAATATTATTTAATTATGATTATCATATAAATTTATACTCACTATGTTAATTATTATTCCACCACCAGAAGTGGATGAATATTTTATCATTTGAATTTAAGAATAATTTTACCATTAAAAGTGGATAGATAATTTTATTATAAAAATGGATGGATGCCTATAATCCACCATAAGTGGATAACCCACCATGTGTGAATCACCCATCAAAAGTGGATGTATACTTGTAACCTACCACAAATAGATGAATAATTTTAACGCACCAAAGTAAATGGATACCTTAACTTACTAGCCCATTAGAAGTGAATTGAATAATTTTAACGCGTCAAAAGTAGATGGATACCTTAACCTACTGGCCCACAAAAAGTGGATATCCCATCAAGAAGTGGATGAATACTGATAACCCACCAGAAGTGGATAAATAATGAAAAGAATAAAATGAATATAGAAAACATATTGTTATTGATGTGGCATGAAAAATCCTTGGTCATGTACCTATTGTACGTCTTAAATTTTATCAAGCATGATTGAAAATTGAAACCTCTTGTGATAATTTTAATCATGGCCAAGTTGATATAGCACATCAAGATATTTGTCATCATGAAACAGGAATTGATTATAGGATTGGTAATAAATATATCTATTATTGATTTTCTTGTCCTGAAAAAGGAATGGAACATTTGATTGGTAATAGAAATATCTGAGCATGAACTTAATAATAATTGGTATATTTAGTATAACTATATTATGGAGATGCTTTAATATGTTTTCATTATATTAAATGATATGTTTTATTATATGTTTTAATTCTATATTTAATATTCTTTTATATTTACTTGCAAGTTTTTTATTGTATATATTTTATTTTATTGAAGAAAATATAGATATTGATCTTGTTGGATCTAAGATCAAGAATGTAAATATATATCTAGCAGACATTGCTACAACACACACTATATTTAAAATAAATAAATAATTTTCCTACTCGATAAAAAAAAAATCAATGTCAGTTCAATATATGGTAGTGCAAGATTAATTGGAGGTTCCAGAAGAGCTAATATTTTACTATCTTGAGAAATAAAGCAATAGAGGATGTATTATTTTAAGTCTCAAAGAAGTTTATTAAATTTTAAAGATATTTGTTTGAATGGATATCATATTGAGACAACGAATGAAAGAGGTGCTGAATACTTTTATATTACATCTATTATATTGGGTAAAAAGTGTGTATTAAAAAAATTACCCGTTTTGTCCTCTAGAATATACTACACAAAAATTAAAAATGATTGAAACATATGCTATAGTAAACCAGAAGTTTACTAATAATTTTAATGTTTGGCATGACCGGTTGGACCATCCCGGATCAATAATAATGCAAAAAAAAAAATGATTGAAAATTTATATGATCATTCATTGCAAAACCAGAAGATTTTTCAATCTAATAAATTTTATGTGCTGCTTGCTTTGAAGGTAAATAAATTATAAGGTTACCACTAGCTAAAGCTGGGATTGAATCTCTTGCATTTTTGAAACGTATTGAAGGTGATATATGTGGACCCATAAATCCACCATGTGAACCATTCAGATATTTTATGATTTTAATTGATGCATCAACAAGATGGTCACATGTGTGCTTATTATCAACTTACAATTTGACATTTGCAATTATTCGTTTGCAAGCACATCTTCTTAGTTATATAATCAAGATTATTTGTCTTGACAATGCCGGTGGATTTACATCGCAAGCCTTTAATATTACATATTAGTTGGAATAACTATTGAACAGCCTGTGCTTATGTTTATACACAAAATGGTCTAACAGAATCATTTATTAAACACTTCTAACTAATTCCAAGGCCATTACTTATGAAATTCAAACTCCCAATGACTGCTTAGGGGCATGTCATTTTGGATGCAATAGCATTTATATGCATAAGGCCAAACAAGTTATTATAAATTCTCCCTATACAATTGGTTTATGATCAGTACCAAATATTTTTCATCTAAGAATTTTTAGATGTGTGGTATATGTTTCAATTGCTCCACCACAATGCACAAAGATGGGTCCTCAAAGGGGGTTAAGAATATATGTTGGATACGAATCTTCAATTGTAATTAAATATTTAGAATTATCGATAGGAGATATATTCATGACAAAGTTTATCAATTGTCATATTGATGAAACAATTTTTTCAACATTAGGGGGAGAAAAATAAGCAGCTACAAAAGAAAATTTCCTAGAATGAATATCATTATCTAGTTTTGATCCTTGCAAAAATCAGTATGAACTTGAAGTTCAAAAGATTATTATTTACGAAATATAGTAAATCAGTTGCCAAGCGTATTTACTGATCTAAAAGAATAACTAAATCTTATATACTAGCTGCAAATGCTCTTATTAGCATTGATGTCCCCGTAGGACAAGGCACACCGGAAGCGTAGAAACAAAACGGTTCCAAAAATAAAATCCTCAAAAAAAAGAGAGTAAGTATTTAAAATGATCAAAAAGAGGAAGTAAAAACCCTAGAAGGGACCCTTTACATAATTGAGAAAGATTTCAGAAGAAATTCAGATGCTTGAAATCATTGAAAGTGAAGAGATCTTAATCAATTATGTCATAACGGGAAAAGATAGAACCGACAAATAAACGTCGATGATATTTTGTATATAATATACAGCTCAATATTATAAAAGAAAAATGAGGATCTTGAACTTCTATTATTGAAGAATGTGGATAAAGAAATGATTGGCCAATGTGAAAAGACGCAATTAAGGTGGAATTGAATTTAATTGTAAAAAACGTGAAGTTTTTGGACTTGTAGTCTGTACATCAAATGATGTAAAACTAATAAAATATAAATGGATATTTGTACGAATATGAAATGAGAAAAATGAGATTATGAGATATAAAGTACAGCTTATCGCACAAGGTTTTATGCAAAGATCTAGTATTGAAGATAAAGAGATATTCTCTGTGGTTGATTCAATTACAATTCTATATTAACTAGTCTGGCAATATATGAGAAGATTGAAATGTGTCTAATGAATATAGCTATGGCCTATTTATATGGCTCATTTGATTTCGATATCTATATGAAAATCCTTGAAGGATTTAAGTTGCTTGAAGCACAAAATTTGAATTCTCGAAAAATTTATTCGATCAAATTAAATAAATATGTATATGGATTAAAGTAATCCAAACACATGTGATATAATCGTCTTAGTGTATATTTGTTGAATGAAGGCTATAGAAATAATCCTATATGTCCATATATATTATAAAAGGGTTTAGATATAAATTTATTATAATTGCTATCTATGTTGATGACTTGAACATTATTGAAACTCTTGAAGAGTTATCAAAAGCCGTGGATTACTTAAATAGAAAATTTGAGATGAAAGACTTTGAAAAAGTAAAGTTTTGTTTGGGTCTTCAGATTGAATACTTGACAAATGAAATTTTTATCCATCAATCAAATTATTTAGTAAAAGTACCAAAATGATTTTATATGGACAAAACATATCCATTGAGTTCACCAATGATTGTGAGGTTATTAGATGTAAAAAAGAACTTTTTCAATCTTGTGAGGATGATGAACAACTTTTTGACCTTACAGTACCTTATCTTATTGCAATTGGAGCACTAATGTATCTTGTTAACAATGCAAGACTTGACATATGAATTGCTGTGAATTTATTAGCAATATATAGTTCTTCTCTAACTTGAAGACATTGGAATTGAATT